ACTGCAAGCTAGCAACTGAATTTGACAAGACGTTGTTGGTGACATTTTGGAGAGAGCAGAATTAGTACTTTGGCAAGAACCTAGGCTTTGGAATAATACAAAAATCTGGGTTCAAATTCCAGTTCCACCCATTTTTGGATGTGAGATGTTCAATAAATGAGCAAACTTTTTTAAACCTTAGTTTCCTCATCTGAAAATTGTGGATAATAACTACCTCCTAGGGATCTTAAGAGGATTAAAACTAATAATGTATATAACATATACAGCAAACAAAACCCATTGCTGTCATGTCGATTCCAACTCACAGTGACCCTGTAGGACAAAGTAGACTGCCCCATAGGGTTTCCAAGGAGCAGCTTGTGGATTGGAACTGCCAACCTTTCAGTTAGCAGGCGAGCTCTTAACCATTGCACCACTAGGGCTCCACATTATATAGTATGTATAATATTATATATACACATAGCATGTCTATGTGTGTATGTGTATGTGTTTGTGTGTGTGTATTGTACTTGGTTAGCTCTTAGGGTTATCCCCATTACCCTCAGAATAAATACTCAAAAAATGTTACTTCTTTCTCCCACCATCATTCCTTCCTTCCTCCCGTCACCTTGAAAGACACTTAATATTTCCCCTTTTACCTTGGTGTCCCAGAAGTTTACAGAATTTATCCTAGCAACTGACTCTTGAAATTGGCACATTTCTCTCCTTTTCTTACTGTTGTTTTTAATTACTCCTTAAAATGTTTCTTTTTTTGCAATTCTTATCAAATCTTATTTAGAAGAAATGATGAGATAAAAATAAGTAAATAATCAGTGGCTGGAGACTCTTGATTAAACATGGCAGTTTCGTTACCGCCCTTTATCTCCCTTTAACCTCTCAAAACCTCCCTGGCGTAACACTAAAAAAATATAAAAACATTAATTCACAAAAGTTCAGAGAATGGGAATGGAGGCAACAGCAGATGAAAGAGTTCAACAAATATTTGGAAGGTAGCAGGCAGGTAGGAGAATAGTAATTGTCTTGAAGCAGAGGAAATTATCAACCACAGTAAGTGCCAACAGGGGGAGATTACCAACAAGCAAGTCAATTCACCCAGTTTAACCTCCAAGAAGCTTAATGCTTGGAAGCACAAGTTCCCACAGAAGGTCATATATGAGGTATGGGGCTGAACACAGGGGGATTGGCTGAAGTCTATGTACAGTGCACTTTGCCCCCACCTCTGATCTCTCTCAGCAGCAAAACAACTACTCTAAACTCTCTTGCTGCATAAGGAGAAAGGAAATTGAACTCTGGAGGCCACCGTCTCAGGGACACAAGGTGTAGTTTGAAGGGCAGAGATAGGATGTAGGGCAGAAAACTAAGTGGTTAAGGGCAGGTCTACACACTGGACTCTGGTAGCCTCAGCCCCTTGCCCAAACCTACTCCCAGAATGCCCACAGCCAGGCATCTATCACTTCTACCCCCTCCCCCTCCCTGGAAAAATAGAAGAGAAAAAAAGACACCTCTACTGACTGACATTTATGAGTTCCCCAATGAAAAGACATTTCCAAAAACTGAAGGACAGAGTAGCTGATTAAAAGAGCCCACCAAGGGCCTCCTATAATAAATGGAAAGAAGACCTGCACCAAAACACATCATACAATTTCACAAAAGCTTTTAAAAGCTTCAAGAGTGAAAAAACAAGCAAAGGCATAGGAATCAGAATGGCACTGCACTTCTCAACAGCACCACTGAAGGCTCAACCTGAAGGGAGGCTTATTTCTGGAGTTATATACCACCAGCCAATTCATCATGAGGGTAGGAAAAAGATATGCTCAGTCTTTGAAGAACACAGAAAAATAATGCTTTCTTAAGAAGCTCCTAGAGAATGTGCTTCAACAAAATGAGGGAGTAAACCAAGAAGGAGGAAGATATAGAATTCAGGAAACAGGGCATCCAACAGAGAATGGTAAACGGAAATCCCAGGACAACATTTATGTACCAGGCTTAAGGAGCAACCAGTCCGAACTGGAGCAGAAAGACAGGTCTGTGGGGAGGGGTCTCCAGGGAAAAGATGGACCCGATCAGTTATACCTTGAGCATTTGGAAACATTATTGCTACATGTTTGAAACATTTGGAAAAAAATAGCTCTTGGTAGTTAGAAAACTCCACCACTCATCTCTCAGTTTGTCCTACCATGTAGCTTGTGTGTTGCTGTGATGCTAGAAGCTATGACACCAGTATTTCAAATACCAGCAGGATACCTGTGGTGGACAGGTTTCAGTGCAGCTTCCAGACTAAGACAGACTAGGAAGAAAGGCCTGGCAATCCACTTCCGAAAGGTAGCTGATGAAGGCCTTATGGATCACAGCAGAACACTGACTTGCTTGCTTTGGACACATCATCAGGAGGGATCAGTTGCTTGAGGAGGACATAATGTTTGGTGAAATAGAGGGCCAGTGAGGGCAAGAGAGACCTTTGGTGAGATGAGTTGGCACAATAGTCAACGATGGACTCAAACATGTTGGTGATCGTGAGGATGCCGCAGGACTGGACAATGTTTCTTTCTGTTGTATAAAGGTTGACATGAGTCGGAGTGGACTCGAGGGCAGCTATCTATCTAGTTAGAAAACTTAGCAATTGAAAAAAGAAAAGACATTTGTTAACTCCAGGTTAAACCAAGTTGTAAGAGAAAGAAAATGTAATAGTAGTTTACTCCTATTATGAACAATAAACAATGTTTATTCGTCAATAATGTAGACACTACTGATTTAACTATATTTTGTAAGGATAAAACCAATTGCAGTTGAGTCAGTTCCAACTCATGGCGACCCCGGATGTGTCAGTAGAAGTGTGCTCCATAGAGTTTTCAGTGGCTGATTTTTTGGAAGTAATCACTGGGGCTCTCTTCCAGATGCCTCTAGTTGGATTCAAACCTTCAGCCTTTCTGTTAGCAGCGAAGCCTGAGGCATACACCATTTGTACCACCCAGGGATTCCATTGTGAGGATGGGAGGAGGAGGGCAGGAATGGGGGCTAGAGAGGTGCAAGAGCTAATTCCTTCACTGCCATAATAAGAAATATTGTCTAAGATTGATAAATCAAGTAATATTAATATAAGCTCAGTATTTGGAAATATGGAGGTGAAAACTGAAAGACATAGCAAAAAGTTGACAGTGGCTCTTCTCGGAAGTGAGGCTAGAGGATGGAGGGGGATGAGGCAGATACTGTTGTTTTTTGATTTTTAACTTAACAGCAAGGGACTGAGCTGGGCCTTGAACCCAGTGTGACTCCTTGGGTTCCTTCCACTCTACCACAAGATTTGGAGCTCCTCAAGGGCCCCAACAGCGCCATGTTCATCTCCACATCTCCCACAGTACCTACGCAGTGCCACCTGATGGGCCTTCACTGCATATTTACTGCTCTAGAACAGTATTGCTGCATTTGTTGGTTTTCTTTTCCTATTTCAAAAGAAGGCAGGAGAAGGCTGAGATCTAAGAAACCTTTAGGGGCCATAATGTGGAGAGTCCTGCTGCCAGTTTCCTTGGTGTCCTGGGGTTGCTGGGTGCATCGCTCATAGCACTTTGAGTTTTGGACTTGGAAATGGCCCGTCCAAGACAGGGAAGGGGCACGGGGTGTTTTCTTGCCTTATAGAGCTCATGGTGGTGTTTCAAGCACTTGTCCTTGGGGTCTAGAACAGCCACTTCATCCCCATTTTCTTGAGACCACTTTGGCTGTTGAAGGGGGCCATGGCCTCTGAAAATTATTCTCAGACTCATAGCTATAATTCACAGTGATTAATGTATGATCCTGTGAGGGATTTTGGTCATTTCTGTGTTTATGTTAACCCACAGTAATTCACCTGGTTCTTAAGGCTGGCAGAATTTCGTGTTTGTCTCCATCCCTGAGGCTACGTGGCCGCCCTTCCTGGGAGCACATATCCAGCGTCCTCTGGGGAGTAGTGGAGGTTGGTGTGTATGTATGTCTGTCTCGGCATGCCTCAGATTATTGCTTCCTAATAAAATTCTGATAGCTGGGCCCCATCAATATCTCAAATACATGTGAGGAAACGTTAATTTAGAATCAATTTTAGGATGTTTCAGACTGTAAAGTCCTTTTAACTAGATCTCTGGCCAAGATGTAGAAGCACTTTATGGGACTGTAAATTTCATGTTGAACAGTCTTCGTGAAATACACATCTCCCCTACACACAAGCTGTTCCCTCCATATCAATCATGGCCCCTGCAAGTAATGTTTCACAAATATTCTGTAAATCACAGAAAACCCCATGATAATGTGAAATATGACTTTCACTTGTCTGCTAGACAAAAGAATCGCACATGCCTTTCTCCCATCAGCACTAACATTTGTTATGGATAATAACACTTTCAATCACAACTATTTTTGGAAAACGGGTTTATTTTAAATCTTCCCTCCCCCACTGAAAACACCCTCCCAAGGACACAGACTCCTACAAACCACAGCCCATTAATCCAACTAGGGAATGGGAACTTCTTCCCACTAGCTTTTTTTTAAAAGTTGTTTTTAAGAAAGTTAGTATAAAAGCCCAAGGTACAAGGTGAAGGAGCATTTTCCTTAGCTGATTGGCATAAGGGTGAGCGAGGTCTCTAAAGACCCCAAATCTCTGAAGTGACCCTGTGTGAAGTGAGATGTTAGAGAGACCCAGGTTTTTAGCAGCACCTTCATCTGAGCTGGAGCTGTGGTCCTCTGAGTTGCTGGCATAGCAGAGATGCCAAAGAGCTAAAAACGTTAACCCTTAAAGAACAGACGTTTATGACCTTGGCGTTCATAATTCCATTACAAAACAGCCAGAGTGTCCCTATTCAAGTGTCGGATGACTAGGCCTAGAGATGTATTCTGAATATAACTATACCCATGTGGGTTACAGAGGCTTACCCTGCCTGCAGTTAATTTCTGGGCTAGGAGAACCCATAGAGTCACATGTAGGACTTGCATGGTTCTAAACACTGTGGTAACCTGTCTGTTCTCTCTCCCTCTAGTCAACTTCAGGACTGATTGATATGACTTCTATAAAGGAGCAGGCAGCAATTAGCAGGCTCTTAAGTTTTTTACAAGATTGGGACAATTCTGGCAAAGTTGCAAGGAGTCACATCCTGAACAGTTTCATTGAAACCAACCAAGGCAAGACTGCCCCTGAATTGGAGCAGGAGTTTTCCCAGGGAGCCAGCTTGTTCCTGGTACGGCTGACCACCTGGCTTAGACTCTCGTATCCTTTGCTGAAGGGGAAAAAAATTATGCAATTTTCAAAAGAGAAAAAGGATTGTTAAGGGAGCTTTTCTCTTGATTCTCTCTAGTATTTTAGAAAAGAACAACTGGTGATAAAAATATCATCCCAAAAGTCAAGAACTTCCTCCACTTCCTGTCTTCCCCACCGGTAAATCTATCTTCATTTTTACCGCTTTCCTCTTTTGCTCCCATCAGAGTTGAGGAAGTAGGTATTCCTTCCATGTGGGGCTAATCCTCTATTTGTTTTGCACTTGAATCCCTTCCCATCTCCTTAAGGACTTTATTCTTTGTCTCCTGTGTCTTTTATCTTTGCCTCATTACTGGCTCTCTTTCATCAGCATGTATCTGATGCTCAAATCTCTTCTACCTTAAAAAATAAAATGAAACCCCTGTCTCAAACCTGTATCCTCATCCAGCTCCTACCCTCCATGGTGAAGCTGCTTGAAAAAGTTGGTCCCGCCTCTGTCCGTGTCTTCTTCCTTTTCTTCTCTGCCCACTGCAGTCTGACTTCCGTCCTCGCCACTGCACTGATGCAGGTCTTGCCAAGGTTACCTGTGATTTTCTAATTGCAAAACCAGTGACTACATCCTCAGTCCTTATATGTAACCTCTCAGTGGCTTTTGTCAATCAACCTTTCCCACTTCTCAAAACACCTTCCCCTTGATGTCTGTGATAGCATTTCTCCTGGTTTTCTCCTGTCTTTTTGTCCTTTCCATTTCTTCTGCAGCCATCCCTTAACACCACTCAGATTAAGGACTCTCAAATTTGTATCCCCACCCAAATTATTCCCTGGAATCTAAGTTCTATACCCATATGTCTTAGTTATCTAGTACTGCTATAACAGAAATATCACAAGTAGATGGCTTTAACAAACAAATTTATTCTCTAACAGCTTAGGAGGCTAGAGGTCCAAATTCAGGGCACCAGCTCCAGGGAAAGGCTTTCTCTCTCTGTCGGCTCGGGGGGAAGGTCCTTGTCATCTATCTTCCCCTGGTCTAGGAGCTTCTCTACGCAGGGACCCTGTGTCCAAAGGACATGCTCTGCTCCTGGTTCTTCATTCTTGGTGGCATGAGGTCCCTCTCCTCTCTGCTTGATTCTCTATTTTATATCTCAAAACAGATTAATTCAAGATGCAACTTAATCTGTAGATTGAGTCCTTCTCATTAACACAACTACCTCTAATCCTGCCTCGTTAACATCATAGAGGTTAGGATTTACAACACATAGGAAAATCACATCAGTCACAAAATGGTGGACAACCACACCGTGCTGGGAGTCATGGCCTAACCAAGTTGACACACATTTGTGGGGGATACAATTCAATCCATAACATCATACATCCAACTACCTCCTGCATTTATATCCCACAGGATGACGCTCACATTTCTAGCTTGAGAAACTAGATGAACAGAGTGCTATTATAGGGGAAGAGAATACAAGACGAGCAACTGTAGGGTAAATCAGTTTGGTTTGAGACATGTTAGGTTTTGAGGTGCCTGTGCTCAGGAGCCCCAGAGGCAGATCTGGGCAGAAGAGAGATTTGGTAACCATCAAGGTGATGGTTTCAGTTATAAGTAGATTTGAGAATACTCCTGCTCTGTGTGCCCACAGCACTTTATGGATTCATCTCAGACCCTTTCTGTATAGTTTTTCTTCTTGCCTGAGCCCCGTCCCCTTTTCTAAACTCCCTCATTTAACTCCGTCTCTCTCCATTATTCAGGTCTCAATTTAAATATCATTTTCTCAGGAAGCTCTTTTCTCAATCTTAGACTAGCTTAGGCCCTCTGTTATATAAACTCATAGCACTTCTACTACTGTAATAGTCGTAAAATTTTATTGTTATTGCCTGCTTAATCTCTCTCCCACTGGACTCTAAGCTCCATGAGGGCAGGTATTGCATCTATTCTATTCATTTATGCATTTCTAACACCTAGCACAATGCCTGGCACATAGTGGGTGCTTTGTACATGTTTGCTGGATAAAGGAATGAATGAACCAATGAGTCTGCGGCTAGGCAGAACTGAAGGTTTGAAGTAAGCACAGCTCTCTTCTTCATGCATTCAAGTAATTGATAAAATTATTAATCAGACAGAGGGCTAGAACAAAGGCCAAAGGGAATACCATTGAAAACACTTCTAGACATTAGTGTACATAATGTTCTCAGACATTAATGTATATAATTTAAATTACAGATTACCAGCCTACCTCCCCACCCACCTCAAGGTTCTGATTTATTAGATTGAGAGTCGGGCCCTGGACTTTCATTTTTAACAAGCACGCTGGGTAACTCTGGTACTTGTGGTCCACCGATCATGCTTTGAGAAGTATCAATACCTATAGTCTGGCTTCTCTCCCCACTAACCTCACAAGGTTATCAACAACCTCTTCTTGGCCAACTCTAGGGCACCCTCTTCAATCCCTACCTTATTTGACAATATTCTCCATTTGACCACAGGGTAAGGGTGAGTGAGGCAGGGTCCTCCCATAGGTGCAGGCTCAGATCCTATGTTTATTTAAAATTTCAGTATTCATCATGGATTTTTTTGCATTAATTTTTACTTTTCTTAATGTTGCATTGAAATATTATTTATCTTGATTACTGAGTGTTTTTTTTGACACCCCCTTAAATTTCTTATCCAAAGCAAGTGCCTCACTCGCCTCACCCTAGTCCTGGCCCTGCTTGACCACCATCCCTTTCTTAAGCTCTCCCCTCCTCTACCTTCTTGGATGGCTGCTTCTCGGTCACTTTTGCAGGGTCTTTTCTACCCACCCCTTAAATGTTTGTTTCCAAGGATCCTGTCTTCAGCCCACGTCATTTTTCACTCCGTTATTGTGCTTACTACGTCAAGTATTGTATCTTTCTCCATATCCTAGGTGCCAATCATGTTTGTTAGGTGCCGTTGAGTCGATTCTAGCTCATAGCGACCTCATGTGACAGAATAGAACTTCCCCATAGGGTTTTCTTGGCTATAATCTTTACGGAAGCAGATCGCCAGGTCTTTCTCCCACAGAGCCACTGGGTGTGTTCAAATCGCCAGCCTTTCAGTTAGCACCCGAGCACTTAATCATTTGCACCACCAGGCAATCATACTGCTTAACATTTAATGGATTCTCAGTAAATGCTTATGAGCCACACTTTTAATATACAGTTGTATATTCAGTTTTTACACCTACAATTATTCATAATTTCTTAACTTTTTGTGACTTTGTCATACAACAGATAAAATCACTAGCTGAAGTGATATAGTATTTTGAATTTGTGATCCCACTTCTTCTCCCGGGCCATCCAGTTCTGGCGGCTTTTGAAGGAAAACAAATCAATTTAGCATCATTATCTTTTGCAAAATTGACAACCGTATAATCCCACATAAGACTCAAACCCCTTTTTTAGCCTTGAGCTTTTAGAATAGATCAGTAAAACGGAGGATTTATATATTATAATGACAACATTATTAGTTACCATTTATTGAGTCTTTTTTATGTTTTAGTCATTGAACTATGTACTGTACAAATATTCTCATTTCAGCCTAACACTAAGCTTAATAGGTGAATGGTTTTATCCCATTTTATACATAAGAAAGGTGAGCCTTGAAAAGGTTGAGTAATTTACTAGAAAACAGCAGAAATAAGGTTTGAATTTGGGTCTGTCTGACCCAGGAGTCCCTGGGTGGCACAAATGGTAAGCACTCAGCTACTAACTGGAAGGTTAGCAGTTCAAATCCACCCAAAAGTGCCTCAAAAGAAAGCCCTGGTGATCTACTTCCAAAAGGTCACAGCCATCAAAAACCCTATGGTGTACAGTTCTACTCTGAAACAAATAGGGTTTCCATGAGTTGGAATTGACTCAATGACAGCTGGTTTTGTCTGACCCAAAGCCCATTCGCCACCCACTGTACTGCAGTATCTTACCCCTCCCCACAGTGGACAGTACAGACCCACAGCTTCACCTTCTACATGATAACCCATTGTTGTCGAGTCGATTCCGACTCATAGTGACCCTACAGGACAGAATAGAACTGTCCCATAGGCTTTCCAAGGTGGTAAATCCTTATGGAAGCAGGCTGCCACATCCTTCTCCTGCAGAGCAGCTTGTGGGTTGGAACCGCCAACCTTTTGGTTAGCAGCCAAGAGCTTAACCACTGCTCCGCCAGGGCTCCTTTCTACATGATAGCAGGAGGTAATCTACATAAATGGCCCTACTCCCTCCATTTGTCTACAGGCAGGATGGTTCCATCAGTTAACCTGTCTGAGATTGTTTCCTTAAGTGGTAAATGAAAATACTAATAGCACCCACTGCAGGGCTGTCTTGAGAATTAAATGAGACAATGCAAGTAAAGCAGTGAGCACACTGCCTGGCATACAATAAATGCTTGATACTTATTAGCTACTGCTGATATTGTTGCAACCTTCTAATTGCTGGAAGTAATAGGCCAGAAATATATATAATAAGTGGCTATGAAAACAAGAAGGATCCCTAGTGGTACAATGGTTAAGAGTCTGGCTGCTAACTAAAAGGTGGGTGGTTCAAACCCACCAGCCGCTCCATTGGAGAAAAGACCTGATGATCTGCACCGTAAGGATTACAGCCTAGGTAGGATACTCTGTGGGGCAGTTCTACTCTGGCATGTAGGGTCACTATGAGTTGGAATTGACTCGATGGCCCCCAACAACAACATGAAAACAAGGCTAGCCTGAGACAGAGGAAAAAGGAGGTGGCAAAAGTTGGTCAGCCTAGCTGATAACTGAAGAAAAGGGGGAAATGTATTGAAGCAGAGTGGGGGCTCCGGAGTGGGGTGGGGACAGTGTTAGAAAGCGTTGGAAGAAAGAGAATGCAATGTGGGTCTGTGGCGGCAACAGGCAGGGGAGCCTGGCTCCAGAGCAAACACTGTTTTGCAGTGAAGAGCCTTTTCTAATGAGCCAATCTGTCTCTACTTCTATTGGCATCCTGGGAACCAGGGTGCAGCAGAGATAATTTTCCTCATGCCCGCCTCCCCTCCAGCCCCCAACAAAGCACCATTACCTCCACCCATTACATTAGCCTTGATCAGTCTTGGAAGCTCTCAGTCATCCTCCATGAGCTGCAGTAATTTCAGCTAATTTCTTAAGTGATCTAAGAGCCTGTGATGTGTTATGAGCCTAGTAATTGTTGACTGGTTCCTTTTCTGTTGTGGGTTGATTTCATACCTTGTATCCGAGCTGATGCGTGCTCTGGGTGCTTTATTACAATGAAGCTTTTTGCAAAGGCTCACATTAAAAAATAACATTAAATATGGAGGTTGTTTAGATCAGAGTTTAATTTTTCCACCATCTCTTGTTATTCTTGTTAGGAAGCTATGCAATTCTTCATAAAAATAGTGACCTCCAGTGTAAAACTTTTGAGCAAGTACAAAATTGAGAATTAATGATGAAGCTGATTATTTTTAGAGAGGGCTTAAGAATGAAGCATGGAGTGATAAACTGTGCTGAGACCCAAGGGTGTGATGGTCATGGCTTAGAGACACTTGGGAAATTGACTCAAAGCTTTCTCAATGCACCTTTTATTTATCAGAGCCTCCCTGCTCCCTAGGGAGCCTGTCAGAGCCATAGAGGCTGAACTGCCCTAGAGACAGCTTCCAGGAGAACAGCGAGCATGCCTTCCAGCACTCCCTTCTGTCCACCCCATGTGTGTGGCCACTTCCCCTTCAGCCTGGTGGCCCCTCTGAGAGTAAAGGGCACAATTCAGCTGCTTGGTCATTCTTGGCAGTAGGTGCTACCAGGGATCAGGCACAGGATCTAGTTTCTGTTTGAAAAACCACCCTGAAATTCACTCTTTAACCTGTCATCCAGCTACATGACTGGCTGTTGTTTAGATAAGCTGCTAAAGTCCATTGGCATCTTCTTGTCTGCTGTAAGCAGGTGAGTGTGAGGTCTGTTCTAGAAAGACTCTGGGGTCTCAGTGGCATATCAGGCTCATGCTGTCCTTGGCGTTCATGACTTCTAGCTATCAGTGGGTGCCCAGGAGCCCTCAGGATGGGCCCAGAGGTAGGGTCAGCCATGGTTCTGCTCTAGTTGCTCCTCTGTCCCATGTTCTCCATTGAAATGTTACTAGTCAGGACCCTCTTGGTTGCAAATTACTGAAAAACAACTCATACTAGAGTCAGGAAAAAGGGAAATTTCACTTAACTGAAAACCCCAGAGGTTGGGAATCTGTATTTCAGGCCTGACTAGATCCAGGGGCTCAGTGTCATCAGAACTTGGTCTCTCTCTTTTTTCACTCCGTTCCTCAGCTCTGCTCTGCTCTGCTCTCTGTATTCGTAGGCCTCTGTGTGCTGTAGTCCTCAAAGCTCCAGGCTGACATCCTTGTATCTCAGCCACACCAAAAAGAAAACACATCTTTCCCAAGGGTTCCAAAAAAGTCCTGGGTTTTGAGCCTCATTGGAACAACTTAGGTCACATGCCTGACCCTAAATCAGTTATTGCAGTCAGGAAGATGACGTGTCCGTCATTAAAACCACATGGCCCATGAGTGGTGAATGGGCGATTCCCCAAGGGACAGTTGAGGTGTTATTACAAGAATAAGGGGGAACAGATGCTAGAAATCCCAAGACAAGAAATGTCACTGTACTTACCTTTTGCATTTCCTGCTGAAAGGAAGAATTTCCAAATTATTGTGTCACTTCACCCATATTGGAGGGTTTTCCTGGGTAGGAGGGCAAAGTATGTGAAGAAAGGAGCTTGATATCCCTTGGAAAGGCTAGTGCCAAAGGACTTGACAAGTGTTTTCTTTCTACTCTTCTATCCTTTCTGGACAGTAATCGGTACCTTATAGAATTCCTTGAGGTTGGAGGTGTCCTAACACTCTTGGAAATACTTGGGCTGGAGAAGATCAAGGAGGAGCACAAGAAGGAATCCATCAAGCTACTTCAGCTTATTGCAAATTCTGGCAGGAAGTACAAGGAGCTCATTTGTGAAAGCTATGGTGGGTACTGTGCACGACAAGGGTGTTGAGTCCCATGTCTCCCCAGGGGTCTGGGTGAAATGGTGGCAGCACCCACCACTGCTATGGGAAAATACATCTTGGAACTGGTTGCACAGGAAACATTTTGTACAGTGCACTCAATTAGCTGCTGTCTACATTACCACCAGAAGACCCGGATTTATGATTTTCCTGATTGCTGAAAGCTGCCACTGGTGGTTTTGGAAATCCGTCTCCAATTTTAATACATCCTCTTTCATGTAGCCATTCAACAAAGATTTATTGAGCAGTTGCCTAAAGTCCTTTGTGGAATTAAGTAAAGTATGAATAACTCTAGAAATAAAATTATTGAATACATTCTGTGTTCTAGGTATATGCTTTGGGACTGGGGATACAAAAATAAATTAAAGTCCCTGTCCTCACAGAGCTTACAGTCCGATGAGAAAGGTATATAATCCAGTAAAATCTATCAAGTGCTGTGATTGAGGCGTGTAAAGGAGGTGCCATCGCCCATGCATCCCTCTATCAAAGCATTTCACACACTATACTTTCACCATGGCTCTCGTCTCTGCCTCCCCATGGCTCCTCTGAGCCTTAGTGTCTTTATCTGTAACATGAGACTAATGCCTCCCTCTCAGTGTAGTTTCTAGGATTAAATAAGGTAATATTTGTGAAAACATTTTGTAAACTGCTAATGGTTGTACCAGTGTTAATTACCATACAGCCATCAAAATAGCCTGTTTTATTTGCACCTGTTGCAGAACCATTTTAAATTTTAAAACACAGATTTTGGCATGCCTAGGCTAAAACAAAATCCTCCAGCAACATGGTTATAAGGAGAACAAGACAGTGGTGAGAACTGAACCTCAATTTTGCTTTGATTGAATAGCCTTGGTTGAATAGACCTTAATCCTATTACTTCCTGTTATGTAATCTTGAGTGGGGGTTGTTTTCATGAATCCTTTCCAATTTAGCATTTCCTCTGTTCTTTGCTCAGGTGTCCGGTCCATAGCAGAATTTTTGGCCAAGTCTAAGTCAGAAGAGACCCAGGAAGAAGTGCAAGTTCTGTTGGATGCTTTGGTCCATGGTAATCCTAAGTACCAGAATCAAGTGTATAAAGGTCTAATAGCTTTGCTGCCCTGTGCGTCCCCCAAAGCTCAGCAACTGTCCCTGCAGACTCTCAGGACCGCCCAGGTGAGCCAAGGCTGCATGGTCCTGTGGTTCTGATTCAAATGCAGTAATCTTACAACTACCTTCCACAGTTGCGCTCCACACAGCATGAGAAGCAGAGCTCAGCCCCCACTGCATGTCTGCTGTTCAATCAGCGTTACTTCCAGAAGGCCAAGGCAGGGCACAGAGTTCATGTCTCCCAGCAGAGTGATTTGTCCTGTTTACTTAAGGATCAGAAAGATGTTGGCAGACTTAAAACTGGTTGAGACAAGCAACAAGGATGATGAAAGGACTGTAGAAAAGATTAAAGGAGTCAATGTGATAGGGAAAGAATCATGGTGCATTTGTAGACAGCACAGCGTGAAGAGTCCCAGGTCTCCAGTGCTTGGGAAAGCTCCTCTTTTCTTGTTGCCTCCAGCCCTTGTCTCAGACAGTGCCCTGGAATGTGAGGGAAGTCAGATGTGTAGCATGGTGACCACAGGCAGACACTATGCCTAGTAAGGAGATAGAGGCTCAAAAAGTGGTTTTTAGATTAATCATCAAAAGTTCTCACATTTCTGATATAACAGCACTAGATAACCAAGACAGAGTAGTAAAAGGAAAGAAGTCAAAGGTGACACTCAGCTTCAGATTTAGACAGCTGGGTGGGTTGTGCCGCCATCAGGAGGGAGCAGGAATAAAGAGAAGGAACAGTTTTATTTGGGAGGAGTTAGGTTTTGAGCCATTAAACTTGAGGGGCCTTGGTGGTTCCCAGACGCCCTTCTGAGGAGCAGACCAAGCTGTCTATAGAGGAGAAAGTTGGGTTACTTATTCAAAAAATACTGAATCTTAAGCCTTCATCGCAGAGAACTGACGGCTCTGAGGTGGGCCTTAGAAATGCTTTTCTTTCTTTCTTTTGAACTCCCCCGAATGATTCTCGCTCCTAGCTAGATGTAGGAATCACTACTCAGGACATATAGCAGAGCTGCCCATTGGTAGTAGAAAATAAAGGTTGGAAGTTCCAGAGAGAGGCCCAAGATGAAGATTTTGGTTTGAATTTCATGAGCAGAGAAGCGATAACTGAAGCCACAGATCTCCCAGGTAGAATGTGCCAAGTAAGAAGAGAAGGCAGGCACGGGTAGAACCAAGGAACACCTCCAATATTGAAGAGACAGGCTGAGGAGGAAGATCCTGCAGAACAGATACTATTATCATCATTGCCACAGTGTCCATTTATTAAGTGCCTCCTACATGCCAAGCCCTGAGTTAGGGGCCTACTTACATTATGCCTTTTGGTCTTCACAATAGCTGAGGGAGGCAATAGTACTATCCTCATTTTAAAGATCATGGAACTGAGCCTCACAGAGGTGTTTAGTGACTTATCTAAAGCCACACACTGAGTAAAAGGTATTTACTAAGTGAGCATTTAAATCTAACTCCAAAGTCCTTGTTCTTTCCGCATAACCCTCTGCCTCTTTGAAAAAAGAGCACTAAAAGCAATAGAAGCCAAACAGGAGAGAATGGGGCTGTGAAAATCAAGGGAAAAGAGTTTTTGTAAGAGGGATGTGATCAGCTGGGTCAAATACGACAAAGAGATTAAGTAAGGGTAGAAAGGAAAGATTGTCCCAGCAGGAAAAGTTTTAGTGAATTAGAGGAATTAAATTGCAGCAGCCTGTCAAAGAATGAATGGGAGATGAAGTAGCTTCTCTTGGCAAGTTTAGGTGTAAGGGGGGAAAAGAGCAGTAGCAAGCAGGAAAGATAGAGGAGGAGGACAATTTCACTAAATATGGGCGAGCTTGAGGATGTTTAAATGATAAAGGAAAGGAACCAATGCTCGGATAAAGATTGAAGAGGCTGGAAAGAGGGGTGGGCTGATTGGGTGAGGTTCCTGAGGAAGAGAAGATTTTAGGACCTTAGAGTTAGAAGAAAGAGCCTCGTGGCACGATGGTTAAGCGCTCAGCTGCTAACCAAAAGTGGTGGTCCAGCGGCTACGTGGGAGAAAAGACCTGGCGATCTGCTCCTGTAAAGATTATAGCCTAGAAAACCCTACGGAGCCGTTCTACTCTGTCCTATAGGGTCACTTATGAGTCGGAATCAACCTGATGGCACACAACAGAGTTAGAAGAGTTCAGAAAGGTCACATGATGAGTTCTCCTCTCCTTGCCCTGTGCCCGCCCTCCCCCAGCCGAGGTAGCAGTCATTGTTGCTGCACCTCTAGCAGCAATTAGTTTCCTAGTTGAGCCAGCAGGGCTCAACTTAATGCCTCCTGAGTTAGAGGGCTCAGTGGCAACCTCAGCAGATTCTGAGTCAGATTCTTGTGTGCCCGTCTCTGCCGCTCTCTAGAAGAAAGGTACCTATATGGTGGGGGCCCTAGACCCAGTGAGCCACCACTGCCGTCCCTTTCCCCCATTCACCCAAGGCACCCAGCTGTTTGGAAGTCTGCTTTTCGGTTCTTCCCACGGGACAAGATTTGAAGAGTAACCACCTTGTCCTGTTGTCTGTCTTGTCAGTCGATCATTGGAACCACACACCCCAGCATCGTGGACTGCGTGCTGAAGGTGCTGCGCACAATGCATCTGGAAGTCCAGTATGAAGGTAAGGGAGGCACCAGGGTCTGCTCCATATCACGGAAGGTGGCAGTGAGAACTAGGCACATGACCCAGTTGCCGTTGAATCGATTCTGACTTATGGCAACCCCACTTATGTCAGAGTAGAACTGTGCTCCATAGGGTTTTCCATGGCTGATTTTTTAGAAGTAGATCGCCAGGCCTTTCTTCCGATACACCTCTGGGTGGACTCGAACATCCAACCTTTGGATTAGCAGCTGAGTGTGTTAACCGTTTGTACCACTCAGGGACTCCTAAGAAGATTAGCTCTTAGAAGTTTTCTCGTGGTCACAAAGAGCCTTGTTATTCAGTGTCCTGGATAGCCTCAACAGATCAAAGATGCTGGTTCAATATTGGCTGGCAAATTATTCAGAAATTGTAGTTATGTTCTGTGCTTCAAATCAGCCATGTAGTACTTTAACAGTTGTTAGAATCTGCTGGGTCCAGAGCTGGTGACACTTCCCAGTCTTATGTGGTGTTTCCCCTCTAAACAGAAACACCCCGAGGAATGTCTTTATTCTTCCAGGAAACTCAATTGAATAAACAGTGGTATTAATAAGTTTTCATTTGTTGAGCACCTGTATGTTCCAGTCCCTTTCCATGCATCATTTCATTTAATTTTCAAAATAATCACAAGAGTACAGAACCTTGCACTTATTAGGCATTTGAATATTTTCAATGAATGAATGGTGGCAGTAGGTGTTTTTATGTTTTTTGAGACAAAACATTGAAGCACAAAGAGAATAAGTACCTATATTAGTTTCTAGGGCTGCTGAGAGAAATTATCATAAAATTGGTGCCTTGAAACAACAGAAATCTATACTCTCACAGTTCTGGGGGCCACAAGTCTGAAATCAAAGTGTCGGCAGGGCCACGCTCCCTCCAAAGGCTCTAGGGGAGAATTCTCTTTGTTTCATCTGGCTTCTGGTAGTTCCAGGCCTTCCTTGGTGTGAAAATGGTATGGCAGGGTGTCTCACCTCCTCTAACTTCACAAGAAGGAAGGAGAATCAAGATCAACAGCCCAAGGCTGATTCCTGTGAGGCAGAGGTCAGGCATGCCTCCTCTCTCTACTGTCTTTACCAATTCTAACACCAACTGTCCCTCCCACAGCACTCTCTGCTTTTCTCCTGGGTTTGATAATTCTTTGCAGTGGCCACACAGAACTCAGGACCATACTCAGAAGTTATGGGGTTTATGAGGGAAGTAACAGGTTACTGTTACACTCAGGATACAGTTCTTTGATCAGAACAGCCTCTTCTCAGCCATGCCCACAGTCAGGTCTCTCTCTGGCCCTTGGCCCCTTGGCCTGGCCTCTGCCCTGCAATAAGTACTCAGAGGTACCCTACTCTGCCAGTAAGCCTCGGCCTGAAGGCACTCAGCTCTAGCTCTGTGGGTCAGCAAACCTAGCTCCACCAAGTGCCCAGAAGCACCCTACTCTGCCAGCAAGCTTCCTGCCTGAAGGCACTCAGCCTTCTCAGTCCATGGGCCAGGAAGCCCATCACGCCATCTCCTGCCAGTCTTCCGCCAGTCTTCTGCCTCTGCTGCCACCATTTCTCCCCTGCCACTTCTCGCCATCTTTGGTATTACATCTCTCTCTGTCTCCTGGTTCCAGGAGCTTCTCAGCATAGGAATCCCGAGTCCAAAGGAAGTGCTCTGCTCCTGGCTCCTCTTTGTTGGTGGTGGTGAGATCCTCTCTTCCCGCCCCTGGGATGGCTCATTTTAAGCCTAGCGGGATGGCAAAACTGACCAATCCCCTCATTAGGATCCCATACACCTTATTTGCATAGTCTCACACAATCATTGTGTATGAGTCACAAAGACTATGGCTAGAAGGGCCATATTAAGTAATTCATTGCACCCTAGTTGGCTTGTGACTACATAACTCCAATCCCTGCCTCGATCTTCACATGGCCTCTTCTCCCTGTGTCTCTCCTCTGTGTGTCTTTTATAAGGATGCTTGTCATTGGATTTAGGACCTGCCTGGATAATCCAGGATGATCTCATCTTGAGATCCTTAACTTAATTACGTCTACAAAGACACTTTTTTCAAATAAGATTACATTCACAAGTTCTAAAATGTAGACATATCTTTTAGGAGGTTGTCATTCAACCCAATACAGTATCCTTCCCAAGTTTACACAGCTAACTGGATTCAAACGAGATCTATCTGACTAAGCACATGTTTTAACATGTAGTACCTGACAGGTATTAAAGGATGTTATTTCCTTCTCTTTCCCTGTCTGAGTTCAGAGAAGGGAGATACTGGTTTAACAGGAGGGAACAAGGAAGGGTTCATTGAGAAGGTAGCATTTGAACTGAGCCTTGAAGAATGGCAAGAATTTTGGAAAATAGAAAGGAGCAGAGGAGGCCATTCTGGAAAGGGAAATGGTATAAACAAAGGCACAGACATAGGGAAGTACAGGATGTGTCTGGGGAATGACAGGTAGATCATTTGGTGTAAGTTTGGGTAAGAAACCCTAGAAAAGTCAGCTAGGACCAAATTGAGGAGCATCTTGAATGCCGATAAAGTAGGTGGCACTGTCTCAGTAGGCAGCATGGAGCCATTGGAACGTGATCTGTGAAGGTGAGTGGCAGAGGGAAGGTAATGCCTCAGGAAGATTGACTGGGTGGTGGTATGTCCAAGTGGGCAAGAGCCACAGGGAGACTTAAGGCTGGAGGCCAGTTGGAGGGACTTGCCATTTGTTCAGACAACAAAATAAGAATATGCTGGGCCATCTGGGCACAGGAGGCCCCAAGGAGAGAGAATGGACAGGATGGGAACTGTCTGGGTGACGAGAATGAGATGGCTTCTGGAAGAGGGAACGGGCAGGGCCGAGGAGCTCAGGACAGGAGGCCCATTAAGCAAGAACGGTCTGGGCATCAGTGAGTATAGAGACTCCTGTGTCCAGGGAGACAGGCTGAGCCCCAGCTCCAGGAAGTCTGGGAGAGACAGAAGCAGCAGGCAGGTACTAGAGTTCAGGTATGCAAGTAAGATCCTGGGAAAGGTCAACAAAGGTCTAGAGGCTTGCTTCCAATTTAAGAGGTGGTGTTGAAATGGAATGTGTGCTATATTATTCCTTCAGCAGCAGCACCAATTGTGTATTTGTTTGACCATTGCAGGAACTTGGGCCTTGTTTGTTGAAAGTAATGCTATGTTGAAATTACTATTGATTACCAGCTGGAGCAGAGTAGCCCAGCTGGGGAGGAGTAGCCAGTGAAGGGATGGAGTGTGAAGGGGCCTGAGTAAAGGTCAGAGCCAGTGACAGGGAGTTTTTGCTGGCACTTGGGCAATGGGGCAGCCTGGCAGAGGAAGTATGTTAGGAAACTTAATCTAATCACCCAGAGGAGAGTAAACTGGGCAACACTGAGACCTCCCTTCCCCACCCCAACCCCGCTTGGCAAATGTGGCCACTCCTACTCACCCATCAATTCTCAGCTTAAGCATTTCTTCTCTAAGGCCTTCCTGACCCTTCCTCCAACTCCCCCAAAGTCAGCCCTCTCTGCTTTGTACCACTCTGCCCCCAACCCCATCCCAGTACCTCCTTCCACCGGAGCAGTTATCTCCAAAATGGTACCAGCTCTTTATATAGACTGTGCGCAGTTTCAGTCAGCTACCATGGTTTTTATCCTTATATCCTAAGCACAGTCTGTAACATATATCAGGTCCTCATTACATGTTTGTTGAACAAATTAGCGAGTGAATGACTACTGCACATACACACTGTATTAGTGATTACTTGCCTATATGCCTTTCTCCTCTGGACCTCAGACCAACTCCAGTACAGCGACTGAATCTTATTTCTCTTTTTCCATCTCAGGCCCTGGACCCTAATAGGTGCTCGTTAGAAATTTGTTGAATATATTAATGAAAAAATGGCTTAGCTTCGGTTACACTAATGAACCCCTCCAGAGCTGGAACGCCATGGCCCTCAGCTTCTTCCCTTATTGGATCTAATTTGGAGTCACTCTGCGTTTATTAAATAACAACTAACGTTGGCACAGGCAGAGGGAGCACAAATTTTTGTCACTACCTTCTTGGTTTGATGTCTGCACCTGTGATAACAATGAAACTCTGAGCCTCAAAATAATTTCAGATATGCCAGACTCGTAACAGGTGCTCAAAAAATGTCTGTTGACTGAATGTCTTATTCTTCTTTTACCAACCAAAAAAACCTGTTGCTGTCGAGTCGGTTCTGACTCCTAGTGACCCTACAGGACAGAGTAGAACTGCCCCACAGGGTTTCCAAGGCTGTAATCTTTATGGAAGCAGACTGCCACATCTTTCTCCTGTGGAGCAGCTGGTGGGTATGAGTTGGCAGCTGAGTGCTTAACCACTGCGCCACCAGGGCTCCTCTTGTTTTATCAAAACCCATTACTGTCGAGTCACTTCCGACTCATAGCAACCCTATAGGACAGAGCAGAACTGCCCCCTAAGGTTTCTAAGGAGCAGCTGCTGGATTCGAACTGCCGACCTGTTGATTTGCAGCCAAATGCTTAACCACTGTGCCACCAGGCCTCCCTTCTTTTATCAGGCAACCCAAAATATTCTTCATGTAATTCAGATATAGAGAATGCATGTGTTATGATTGTCCACTAGGGGGAACTATTTTACATGCTCAATGAAGTTAAGAGAGAGAATACAGTATTCAGCTTCCACTGAAACTCATCCAAATGCAAGGGAGGGAAGGTCTGACATGTCTTAGATGCGGCCCTAGAAGTGAGTGAGTGGAGAGGACCAGAGATGAGGATACCAGATGGCAAAACCCAGGTGAAGTCCCCCAGGATGATGGCAACAGTCAGGGTAGAGAGGAAGCCTGTGACCAAGAGGAGTCAGTGGATGACAGTTATGAGGAGAGTTAGTGGTGACATAGTTAAATGGACTGACCTTCAGCGGGCTAAAGTGCAGGGTTTGTTTGTTTTTTTTTTTCTGGACATTTATTGGACATCTGTGGTGTGCCAAGAACGTATGCCAGGTACTAGGGTTTTATT